GGGACAGCAGAAGGTTAGCTTTGACACCAGTCACTGCCGAACCAAAAGATCAATCCCTCCCCACTACCACCACAAAGCAAAAGGAAACAGCTTTCCCCTTGAGTAAAATGTTCCTCCCAGTTCATTTAACAAGGCTCTAGGTACAGTATTCAGCAGCAATTGCTAAAGGGTGAAAGCTTACCAGGCCATTGTGTTTTATGAACAGACATCAGAGAGGGCACAATTCACTTGTAAATCATTGCAGCTGGGTTGAGATAGAGATCAGTTCTGCAATTCCCATATCTGTTCCCAGCAGATGGTGACTTATATTACTTTGCCTGGCTTGTGGGGATAAGATGTGTTCTCTCTCCCCCTCCCTTGTAGTCATGGTGGAGAAGGAGGCGGGGCTTGCAGAATAGAGACACAATATTCACATGTCGCAGCTTTTGGATGATCTATGGGTAAAGAGGGAGGGAAACAAAGAAGATATTTTAAGCTCTCCTGCAATACACAGAAATCTATCCCCCATGAAGATGCATGGCCATTAGATATCTCACCGGTATGGTTTGCTAGGGAGGTGGCTAGTAAAGCTACACCCAAGACAAACCCACATTCAGGAGATAAGCGTAGGTCTCCTGTACTTCTCTTTGCCCACAGTATATGTTTGCATGTTCTGTGACTATCCCTGGTCTTCCTGGGTGGTGGAAATGGTGTAGGTAGACCCTAGTGTAGTCAATGTAGTGTTCGCCACAGGGTGTTGCACTACAACTTCCATCAGCTCCAGCCTATATGGCCAATGGTCAGGAATGATGGGAGTTGCAGTCCAATGACATCTAGAGGACACAAGGGTTACTAACATGTCACCTGTGGGCACTCTTGTTCCCTCAGGGTTTCTCCCCCCCCCCCCACCAAACCCTAAGAGTAGAGCACTTGACAATAGGGCATCCCTAACGCCCAGAGACACAATTTTTACATTGTGAGTGAATCGTAGCAATTAACCTGAGTACTCTCTAAACAAGTTACCTAGGAACTGAACTTGCTTTAAGAAGATCTTGAATAATAATACAGTGCACAAGTAAAGGAATGTGGAAACCACATCCCAGGCATGTGGAAGAGTGCTTCCTGCTCTTGTACTTACACTGTGAAAGAGGCATACACATCTCTCAGCTTTGTCAATGTTAGGTAAGCAAAGCCGGCCCTACCATTAGGCAGAAGGAGGTAACAGACCGATCTGTGTGTACCATGCAGCTTGCTTTGTGTCCCCTAACCTAGCCTTCTGCCCTCAGATGCAATGGAGGATGCTTTCCTGTTACTAGTTTTGAAGTAAAAAACACAAAAACCTGGTGATCTGGGTAGCTGTTGTACATAGGATAGGGAGAAGTGCCAGGTGTAGTGATTAGAGAGTTTCGGACTAGGAGCTGGGAAACCAGGTTTCAAGTGCCCACTTAACCAGGAATATCACTTGGGTGACCTTGGGCAAGTCAGAATCTCTTACCCTAACCAGCTTTGCAGGGTTGTTGTGAAGCTAAAACAGGGAAGGTGAGATATAAAAATAAATAAATACTGTCCTGTGCTTCAGGCAGCAAAATGTCACGAGCTGGTCCTGGGTAGGAGGACTCAGAGACTGATTGGGAGACTACAGCAGTCACTATTTCACTTGTTGCAGTAACCACTAGCTAAATTTGCAAACCAAAAGAGTGTGGGAGTGAATCAACTGAAAACATTAACTTATCTCTTCCTTTGATGGCAGCCTTTGATTTTCAAAGTCCTCATACTTCACAGAAACTGTTGATTCCACTGAAGACTCTTCCAAAAAAGCATTTTTATTCAATGTTGTGATATGTGAACATGATACATCATTGGATAAATAATTGGACAGAGCTAGGCAGATAATCAGATATAAATATCTTTAATGGGTTTGACAGCCCCTTGTACTACTCCTCTGTAGACACAATTTTTGGGTCAAGTGATGATCAGAGAGTTTTTGGTTGCAACACACACCATATATTAAAAGAACTCTTATACCACGTTAGCAGTCACGGCTTCTCCCAAAGAATCCTGGGAACTTAAGAAGTTAAGGCTGCTGGGAAATGTAGTCCTTTGAGGGGTTTCCTAACAACTCCCAGTACTCTTCTGAGATAAGTCCGGGAGGTCTCTTCTTCCACACACTTCAGCATGAAATCTTATGAAGAGGGTTTGTTCCAGGGAAACTTGCTGAAAAGAAATGGCTATTCACTTGTTCCATGAACAGCAATTTCAATTGTGTTGAGTTTGGCTCCTGCCCACATCAGCTCTATGCTCCACGCTGAAGAACTTCTATGGCAGTCTTCTCAAAAGTAAGTCTCACCGAGTTCAGTGGGGATTACTCCCTTGTTAAGTGTGTATAAGAATACAATCTAAACATGTCTGCCTAAGAGACAGCAAGCAGAAATATGTTTTCTCTTTCCCCATTTTTTTGTGAGAAATATAGAATTGGTTAGCAACCTTTATAGGACTTTTGTGTTAGTTCAGAGTCTGATTAGTTAGTTCTCATTGATGTATTTACTATTGCATTTGTATGGAATTTTTAACAGAAGAATTGTAAAAATAATTGTGCGGATTGTTGCTTTGTGAGGATACTGATCATCTTCCTTAAATGCCTGTTGTGCCCTTACAGAATCAAGGTTCCCAGAGTTCATAGCTAGAAGCAATGACAGGTTTGAAATGCAGTTTCTTTCCAAGCTATGCCTGTACATGAAATCCATTACAGCATAGAACAGCCTTCCCCAAACTGGTGTCCTCCAGATGTTTGAACTACAGCTCCACCCATCATGTCCAATGGTTAGAGATGATGGGAAAAGTAGTCCAACAAAATCTGGAGGGCACCAGGTTGAGGAAGGCTTGGATAGAAGGCATAACCATTTGATACTTTGTATTGTATTGAATAGGGTACTGGCATTTTTAATTTCTCCATAATACCAAGAAGACAATCATTGCTGAATTGTCATAGTAAAGGTAAAGGGATCCCTGACCATTAGGTCCCGTCGTGACTGACTCTGGGGTTGCGGCGCTCATCTCGCTTTATTGGCCGAGGGAGCCGGCATTTGTCTGCAGACAGCTTCCGGGTCATGTGGCCAGCATGACTAAGCCGCTTCTGGCGAACCAGAGCAGCACACGGAAAGGCCGTTTACCTTCCCACTGGAGCGGTACCTATTTATCTACTTGCACTTTGACGTGCTTTCGAACTGCTAGGTTGGCAGGAGCAGGGACCGAGCAACGGGAGCTCACCCCGTCATGGGGATTCGAACCGTCGACCTTCTGATCGGCAAGTCCTAGGCTCTGTGGTTTAACCCACAACGCCACCCGTGTCCCTGAATTGTCATAGGATATGCCATATTCTGGCATATAGTGTAGAAGAGAGACAATGTGGTATGGTGGTTAGAGTGTTGGACAAGGACCTGGGATACCAGGGTTCTTGGGCCAGTCACAGTCTCTGAGCCTAACCTACCTCACAGGGTTGTTGTAAGGATTCAATGAGGTTGGGGAGAACCAGTGCTATTTTTCTAGAAAAAGAGGTGCCAGAACTCACCATAAATGCCTCCTTTGTATAATGGCAATGGCACCCACCTGAGGGGTGTCAGAACTGAGTCCCAGTGAGTTTTGGCTGAAAAACAGCCCTGGGGAGAACCATGTATGCCACCTTGTTCTCTGCAAAGAAAAAGATGGGATATAAAGGCAATGGGAAAAAAGAATAATGATAAGTTTTAAGAGAAGCTTGGTTTGGGAAGAAAAAGAGCTATATCTTCTTCACATTAGGGAGCTTCAGGTAATTATGCTGTATAGGATAATTTGGCTGTTAATGGTAGAGGAAAAATGAACCACACTCTTGTTTCTCACTGAGACCTCATTAGCCCATTCTACAAGTCAATAGATTTCTCAGCTCAAATATTAAAGGTTATTTCAGGGACTCTTAATTCCCAGCCCGGAAGCTTCAGCACAATTAATGTTCTCTCCAGTGACCCCTGTCTGTTGCTGCTACTAGAACCATTTCAGGTAAACGAACGTACCATATTCCTTGGGAATGAATCTGTGTCCAATTAATGGCACAAACAAGTCAGAAATCACCAATTCAAAGGTGTCGTTTGGTAGTCCAAACAGAAGGCAGCCCTTCTCTGCTGAGTATCAAGTTATAGTTACAATATGTTATTGGCAGAAAGCAACTGATCAATAATGTGAATCAAAAATGCAACGGAATGCTTCATAAGGCATTTTAGGAAATGAAGCCCCTAGACAGGATTTAACATAAACTAAAGGTCTCCTGCAGTTACCTTTTTTTTTCTAGAAGTAGATTCAAATATTTTAAATGAGTACAGTGGTACCTCGGGTTAAGTACTTAATTTGTTCCGGAGGTCCGTTCTTAACCTGAAACTTTTCTTAACCTGAAGCACCACTTTAGCTAATGGGGCCTCCCGCTGCCGCCGCACCACCGGAGCACAATTTCTGTTCTCATCCTGAAGCAAAGTTCTTAACCTGAAGCACTATTTCTGGGTTAACGGAGTCTGTAACCTGAAGCGTATGTAACCCGAGGTACCACTGTACAACCAATTAAGTTACCACATATGATTTTCTCCTTATGGGCTCTGTGTATGTCACATAGGGCAGGGACAGGGAATCGGTGGCCCTCCAGCGCTGACGTAAGGGATCCCTCAGACAGGCTACAGGACAGGAAATAATAAATTCTTGTTCCACACAACTTTAACAAAGCGTATTGTACACCTTGCCTGCCAACCTAGCAGTTCGAAAGCACCCCCGGGTGCAAGTAGATAAATAGGGACCGCTTACTAGCGGGAAGGTAAACGGTGTTTCCGTGTGCGGCTCTGGCTCGCCAGAGCAGCGATGTCACGCTGGCCACGTGACCCGGAAGTGTCTCCGGACAGCACTGGCTCCCGGCCTATAGAGTGAGATGAGCGCACAACCCCAGAGTCTGGCAAGACTGGCCCGTACGGGCAGGGGTACCTTTACCTTTTTATTGTACACCTTAGTCACGTGCTACCTAACACTTCTATCTTACCCAAATGGATAGGACCTACTTGACGAATTCCCTTTCCTACCCGCCTAAAGAGGTTCCTCAGCCTGGCCTGGAACTGGAAAGAAAGGCAGAAGCAGATCATGGGGTTAATGCAGCGGTTGGCGAAGGCCAGGAGAGACGTCAGGTGATAAGCCAAGTACATAGGGGCTGTGGTTAGCAACTGGTCGTACTTGATAAAGAAAATCACCAGCCAATATGGGAGCCACATGACCACCAGGGTCGCCATGGTGACCAAAGCCATCACTGAAGCTCGCCAGTTCACTTGCAGGCTGGAGGCTGTGTGCATAGAGAGACCCCTCCTAACCTTGAGGGTACAGATGATCCTCAAGTAGCAGAAAACCATCAGCAATGTGGGAGGCAGGAAGCCCACCCCTCCCAGGAGCCGCAGGTAAAGGTTAACTTCCTTCCATGCCATTTGGTTCACGCAATATGTCTGGCCCTCCACGTGAATGATCTCATAATTAATCCAGAGAGGAGTGGAGAATACAAGGCACGTCACCCAGATTAGCCCGCAACCGATAACTATCTGCTTTTGGGAGATGGGCATCACTCTCATAGGGTGGAGGATAGCCGTATAGCGAAGCAGCGCGATGGCCAGCATGCTATAGAAGGCAGCAAATGAGACCCACATGGAGAAGCTGTGGTTGGTGACGCACAGCAGGCGGCCCAGGCGCCAGTCCCTGAAAAGGATGTTGCCAAACATCACAGGGGCATTGTAGAGGAGGAAGAGGAGGTCCAGGATCACGATGTTGAGGAAGAGAGGCTCCGTCAGGCGTGAGATGTGGCTGCCGCTCTTTCTTTGGAGACCTCGGAAAAGGATCCAGAGCAGCAAGCCATTTCCGGGCATGCCCAGGAGGAAGAAGAGGACATAGAGGACAGCAAACACATTCCTGCCATAATGGAGGAAAAGGTCGCTCAAGCCAGAGCTGGTGCCATTCCCTGCACTGGAATTGGAGTCCATGGTAGCATCAGTTACTTATTTAGTCTGTGCCATAGAATTTCCTAGCAGCCTGCCAGTCTTTCTTCTGTTCCCTGGAAACAAAAATATGACTTTCAATGCACTCTGAAATGCAGCATTTGGGATAATCATGGAAATGATAGCCTTGTTCAAAGCAATCTGCACTATTAAGAATGAGGAAGGGGCAAGGAAGGTGAGAGGAGACACCTGACTTTCTACTAACGGCTTGCACAGGAAGAAGGAAGAAAGTCTGCATGAATTATTCGAATGTCAGTGTGTGCCAACAGAGTCTTTCCATTTGTACTTCATCTCTGCCCAGTGTTCCTTATTTAATGTGCTCAGCAGAGTTCAAATTTATGGTGGGAGTCTTGCTTGTCAACTGTACTTGACCAAAGGGATACACACACACACACACACATTTCCAGTCTGTCTTCTCCAAAGTTATGTGTATTGTGAGTCTTTGACACATAGGGAGGCACTCACTGCAATATACAAGCCTTGCAGCATGCACAGCTGACCACAGCACACCCACCCCACAAGCCAATGGGCTTCTCCAGGAGTTTCACTTTGTCAGAAGGGCATTTAAGTCTGCTTCCTTTGTGTCTGAACAAGGCACAGAGCATTTTTAATCTCAATACATTAACATTAGATGGGACAAAGAAACCAAAAAAGTACCACTGTGACCAAAATAAATCAATAGATTGCATGGTGTTTATTTTTCCATAGGCTCTTTTATTTGTTTTCAAACAGAAAATTCTGTCTCGGCACTTCAGTGGATCACTTTTTGCTGGAAATGTTTTACTCCATCCTGTTTCATTGGCTAGGACAAAAAAAAAAAAACCATGTAAAATTTAATTGGTTTTCTTGGGTTGTTGTTGTTGTCTCAGGGTTGTTTTGTATTACTTTGTGCGTGTGCAGGAAGATGCTATTTCCATTGCACAAGTAAAACAGCGGCTTTAACTACAACCCAGAATTTATGATTGTGCAAAGGACAGTGTCCTAGGAGGACTATGGTGCACATCTACTTCCATGTATAGCCTGCAGTGAAAAGTGCACTAGGATTCACACCCCAAGGTCTGGCTTAGAGGCCGGAATAACAAACATGGATAAATGAGCTCCTACTCAAGTCTCTTTTAGATCACCAGACACCTGCATTGCTAGCAGTGACCCAGTGTAAGTGATTTCCTCCAAGGAAAACCACCCATGAAGAATTTACATGAAAAGTGAAATCAAGAATCATGTGGGTCTTGCAGGAAAGAATCATAAGAAGAAGTCTAGATACAGGTTCAACAAAACATACCAGGATTGTGTATTCTGGGGACAGAGGAGCTATTTGCTATGCCTGAAGCTTGTAAGGCTAGTTCTCAGAACAGACTTTAGTTTCACAACAGAGCCTCCATACAAACAGTCTTTACTTGAATTTTAATCCACATAGTAAGATACAGAACAGGTGGTTTCATTTAGATCTTTGTAATTTATTGTAAAGTGTGCAAAGAACTTTCATTACTGGATTCTATAGAAATGTAAAAAATAAATATATAAAATGCTCAGAAGATTATAACTGCCCTCCCCTTCAAAAACAGACTTCTGCGTAATCATACTTTGAAAGTGCAAAACCTGGACCCAATCTCTGTCCAACAGATTTTCAAATCCAATAGATTTTTAAAAAATATCAGATTCATTTCTGTGTCACCAAGAGCATGTTGAGGATCATCTTCTTTCTTTCCCACAAAGAAATGCATCCTCTGTAGGACACATATGAAATGGCCTAGTGTGAACAACACATCTGAACAAGACTCTGTTCTAAGATCTCTACTGTTTAACATGTTTAGGATGGAGGGACAAGTTCAACAATCTGGAAGGGTAACTTTAAAACTAAGGATTTAACAATGAGAGGATCTGTGGAAGCAAAGGACCATACCTCACTGCTGATGTCTGAACCGGATACCACTTAGAGAGCAAAGCAAATGGATGTGTAAATTATGCTGGAGTCAGGAGCATTTTCCTTTTGCCTTGTCTTCCGTCTCTTTTCAGAACCTCTGCAGACTGACTTAGGTACACAAACACACACACCCCAAGTGGTTCGGATGCTCTCTTACTGATGCTGCCACTAAAGAAGACCTGCCTATCAGCACTCTTTCATCTGAGCACCAAAGGCAGCCAGCTCAGTCAGAGAGAATCATTTGCCTCATCATATTAGAGCAGAAATCAACCTAGGATGGAATCGAGCCATTCTACCCCTCCATCTCCTGCCTGGCAAAACTTAACTTCTGAAAGTGAACTGATTACTATTAGAATTAGTTTAGGGAACCATCCCTTTGGGAACAGGATTGATAAAAGGGCGAGAGTTCAGCGGGCTTCTGCTCGAGCAGACATGCATCCATCACCAAGCATTTTAAAGGCATGCTAGGAATGGGGCGAAGTGCTGAAAAAAATATTTAAATTTCAGAGCGAAACTACCTTCAGTATGTATATTTTTTCATACATGTAGTTCTGGAATACCACATGTAAAGCTGCCATTAGTTCTTTGTACCACAGGAACTTAGTACAGGATAGTACAGAAAATGCAGTGATTTACAGAGAACAACCTCACAATACAAGCCAAAGTACTGGAAAAACAAGTAGGCAATGTGGTTTTGGGGATTAGAAAGGTACCCCTGCCCGTACGGGCCATTCTTGGACAGGACTCATAGGGTTGCGCTCATCTCACTCTATAGGCCGGGAGCCAGCGCTGTCCGCAGACACTTCCCGGGTCACGTGGCCAGCGCTGACAAGCTGCATCTGGCGAGCCAGCGCAGCACACGGAACGCCGTTACCTTCCCGCTAGTAAAGCAGTCCCTATTTATCTACTTGCACCCAGGGGTGCTTTCGAAATGCTAGGTGCACGGCGGCTGGGACCCGAACGACGGAAGAGCGCACCCCCGCGCAGGGATTCGAACCGCCCGACCATGCGATCCGGCAAGCTCTAAGGCGCTAGAGGTTTTACCCCACAGCGCCACCCGCGTCCCTGGTTTGGGGATTAGAGCCCCCCAAATGATTTAGTTAATTCAACAATGTCCACTTTTAAAGGGGTGGTGTGCCAAAAAGAGGTGCTATACTTTGGGGTGTACTTCATTTTTCCTTATGGAAAAGAAGGTCATTGGTAGGGCTGTGTGATGTAACTCATATCCATTGCAGTACACATGAGCAATTTCCCATTCCTTCTTTTGGTGCCATATTCTGTCCTTTAGAATAAAAAGAAACTCTGAAAAGGGCATCCTTTTAAAACGGAAAACAACAGGCAGATTGCAGGAAGCAAACTTAAAGGTAAAGGTACCCCTGCCCATACGGGCCAGTCTTGACAGACTCTGGGGTTGTGCGCCCATCTCACTCAAGAGGCCAGGGGCCAGCGCTGTCCGGAGACACTTCCGGGTCACGTGGCCAGCGTGACATCGCTGCTCTGGCTAGCCAGAGCTGCACACGGAAACGCCGTTTACCTTCCCGCTAGAAAGCGGTCCCTATTTATCTACTCGCACCCGGGGGTGCTTTCAAATTGCTAGGTTGGCAGGCGCTGGGACCGAGCAACAGGAGCGCAGCCCGCCGCGGGGATTCGAACCACCAACCTTTCGATCGGCAAGCCCTAGGCGCTGAGGCTTTTACCCACAGCGCCACCCGCGTCCCTTGAAGCAAACTTGCACTGTTGCAATAGAAGAGTGAGTTAGAGGATGGAAGAGATGGAAGAGGCATTGCAAAAAGCCACTTGATCCTTTCCCCTCCCCTTAATATGGACCAGTTGCATAGCTTTTTTTCAGCCAGAACTTGCCAGAACTCAGTTCTGTCACCTCTCAGGTGGACCCCATTGCCATTACAAGAGAACAAGGGAGGTGTTCACGGTGAGTTCCAGCACCTCTTTTTCTAGAAAAATAGCACTGGCCAGCTGTATTCTGTTTAAATGTTTGCCTATCAAACATTTACAGTGTATATGCAGTCAAAGGATTATGAGAATGCTTGTGATGGGTCCCCAAGTCTTGACCCCACATGGGCCACAAGATTTTAAAGGAGAAGTTCTCAAATTACTCTTCCATTTTTCAAGTAGATCTATTTCTGTATTATATTTCAAGTCACACAGTTTTTGACATTATTAGTCAAAAGATGTCTTGGAGGGCTGGCAGGTGGAAAGCAACTCGTGACATGACCCAGCCTGTTACAACCACTGGAGAGATGCTAATGAAGGTCTCGCTGCCTGTTTTTGTTTCAGAGTGGATGTCTTCAAGGCTCACACCTTTTGCTTTTCCCCTGTGCACATGGCATGCTCTCAGCAAAGGTAAACTTGTTATGCTAACTTCACTCTCCTAGTGAAGTGTGTAAGTTTGTTTCAAACAAACTATCCAGGCCGGGGGGGGGCTATATAGAGAAAGTTTAGACAGATAATAGGCAGGCAGATACAAATATAAATAAAAATCAGGTCTAAGTTTCAGGCACACACAAAATATCTATTTTGTACATACAGCACAAGGTGAAGATACGGGGTGGGGGGGTGGAAGAACACCACAGAGATAAGAAAAATCAGAGCCAAGAATAAAACAAAAACAGCACATAAAAAGTGGTTGTGTGGCTTGATCCTCAGAATGGGATAAGACTTTAAGCAGCAAATATGGGTCTGGAATCCCTTGGGGAGGCCTAACTTGCAAAGAAAAAGTAGCAGCTGCAGAAGGAATTAAAAATCTTCCCCACGTACTGAAGTCCCCAACTTGATTTGTGGCATGCACACCTCTAGGAACCCTGACTGGGGGTCGGGGGGGGGAGCTTAACAATATCCTCAAGATGTGTCACCCTTTCTCCACTGCTTCTCTTTGCATTGAAAAGCAGCAGCCCAGGTCCCCAGTTCCGCATCTTCCACTTTCTGATTCTTAATACTCTATATACCAGCAAATACATTCTTAGCACAGGACATACAAGCAACTGCAGAAATAGGTTAGGGTCTTGGAATGAAGGGCATGCCATGCCCTTAAGGTGCATCTGAT